ACAGGAATACCAAACACAACAGAAATATTAACCACAACAGAAATGCCAACCACAACACAAATACCAATCACATCAATACCAACCACGACGGTAATACCAACTACAACAGAAATACCAACCACAACACAAATACCAACTACAATGAAAATAACCGCAACAGATGTACCAACCACAACAAACTTGCCAACCACGACAGAAGTACCAACCACAACAGAAGTACCAACCACAACAGAAGTACCAACCACAACAGAAGTACCAACCACAACAGAAATAACAACCACAACAGAAGAACCAACCACAACAGAAGTGCCAACCACAACAGAAATACCAACCACAACAGCAGTACCAACCACAACAGAAGTACCAACCACAACAGATGTACCAACCACAACAGAAATACCAACCACAACAGAAGTATCAACCACAACAGAAGTACCAACCACAACAGCAGTACCAACCACAACAGATGTACCAACCACAACAGAAATACCAACCACAACAGCAGTACCAACCACAACAGAAGTATCAACCACAACAGAAGTACCAACCACAACAGAAGTACCAACCACAACAGACGTACCAACCACAACAGAAATACCAACCACAACAGCAGTACCAACCACAACAGAAGTACCAACCACGACAGACGTACCAACCACAACAGAAGTACCAACCACAACAGAAGTACCAACCACAACAGAAGTACCAACCACAACAGAAATGCCAACCACAACAGAAGTACCAACCACAACAGAAGTACCAACCACAACAGAAGTACCAACCACAACAGAAGTACCAACCACAACAGAAGTACCAACCACAACAGAAGTATCAACCACAACAGAAGTACCAACCACAACAGACGTACCAACCACAACAGAAGTACCAACCACAACAGAAGTACCAACCACAACAGAAGTACCAACCACAACAGAAGTACCAACCACAACAGAAGTACCAACCACAACAGAAGTACCAACCACAACAGAAGTACCAACCACAACAGAAGTACCAACCACAACAGAAGTACCAACCACAACAGAAGTACCAACCACAACAGAAGTACCAACCACAACAGAAGTACCAACCACAACAGAAGTACCAACCACAACAGAAGTACCAACCACAACAGAAGTACCAACCACAACAGAAGTACCAACCACAACAGAAGTACCAACCACAACAGAAGTACCAACCACAACAGAAGTACCAACCACAACAGAAGTACCAACCACAACAGAAGTACCAACCACAACAGAAGTACCAACCACAACAGAAGTACCAACCACAACAGAAGTACCAACCACAACAGAAGTACCAACCACAACAGAAGTACCAACCACAACAGAAGTACCAACCACAACAGAAGTACCAACCACAACAGAAGTACCAACCACAACAGAAGTACCAACCACAACAGAAGTACCAACCACAACAGAAGTACCAACACAACAGAAGTATCAACCACAACAGAAGACCAACCACAACAGAAATAACAACCACAACAGAAGTACAACACAACAGAAGTATCAACCACAACAGAAGTACCAACCACAACAGAAGTACCAACCACAACAGCAGTACCAACCACAACAGAAGTATCAACCACAACAGAAGTCCAACCACAACAGAATACCAACCACAACAGAAGTACCAACCACAACATAAGTACCAACCACAACGAAGTACCAACCACACAGAAATGCCAACCACAACAGAAGTACCAACCACAACAGAAGTACCACCACAACAGAAGTACAACCACAACAGAAATACCAACCACAACAGAAATACAACCACAACAGAAGTAACAACCACAACAGAAGTACCACCACAACAGAAGTACCAACCACAACAGAAGTACCACCACAACAGAAATACAACCACAACAGAAATGCCAACCACAACAGAAATACAACCACAACAGACGTACCAACCACAACAGAATACCAACCACACAGAAGTACCAACCACAACAGATGTACCAACCACAACAGCAGTACCAACCACAACAAAGTACCAACCACAACAGAATGCCAACCACAACAGAAGTACCATCCACGACAGAAGTACCAACCACAACAGCAGTACCAACCACAACAGATAGTACCAACCACAACAGATGTACCAACCACAACAGATGTACCAACCACAACAGATGTACCAACCACAACAGATGTACCAACCACAACAGAAATACCAACCACAACAGATGTACCAACCACAACAGATGTACCAACCACAACAGATAGTACCAACCACAACAGATGTACCAACCACAACAGATAGTACCAACCACAACAGATGTACCAACCACAACAGCAGTACCAACCACAACAAAGTACCAACCACAACCGAAGTACCAACCACAACACAAATACCAACTACAATGAAAATAACCGCAACAGACGTACCAACCACAACAGAATTACCAACCACAACAGATGTACCAACCACAACAAACTTGCCAACCACGACAGAAATACCAACCACAACATAAGTACCAACCACAACAGAATTACCAACCACAACAGAAGTACCATCCACGACAGAAGTACCAACCACAACAGAAGTACAACCACAACAGAAGTACCATCCACGACAGAAGTACCAACCACAACAGAAGTATCAACCACAACAGAAGTACCAACCACAACAGAAGTACCAACCACAACAGAAGTATCAACCACAACAGAAGTACCATCCACGACAGAAGTACCAACCACAACAGAGTACCAACCACAACAGACGTACCAACCACAACAGAAGTATCAACCACAACAGAAGTACCAACCACAACAGAAGTATCAACCACAACAGAAGTATCAACCACAACAGAAGTATCAACCACAACAGAAGTATCAACCACAACAGAAATGCCAACCACAACAGAAATACCAACCACAACAGACGTACCAACCACAACAGAAGTACCAACCACAACAGAAGTATCAACCACAACAGAAGTACCAACCACAACAGAAGTACCAACCACAACAGAAGTACCAACCACAACAGAAGTACCAACCACAACAGAAGTACCAACCACAACAGAAGTACCAACCACAACAGAAGTACCAACCACAACAGAAGTACCAACCACAACAGAAGTACCAACCACAACAGAAGTACCAACCACAACAGAAGTACCAACCACAACAGAAGTACCAACCACAACAGAAGTACCAACCACAACAGAAGTACCAACCACAACAGAAGTACCAACCACAACAGAAGTACCAACCACAACAGAAGTACCAACCACAACAGAAGTACCAACCACAACAGAAGTACCAACCACAACAGAAGTACCAACCACAACAGAAGTACCAACCACAACAGAAGTACCAACCACAACAGAAGTACCAACCACAACAGAAGTACCAACCACAACAGAAGTACCAACCACAACAGAAGTACCAACCACAACAGAAGTACCAACCACAACAGAAATGCCAACCACAACAGAAGTACCAACCACAACAGAAGTACCAACCACAACAGAAGTACCAACCACAACAGAAGTACCAACCACAACAGAAGTACCAACCACAACAGAAGTACCAACCACAACAGAAGTACCAACCACAACAGAAGTACCAACCACAACAGAAGTACCAACCACAACAGAAGTACCAACCACGACAGAAGTACCAACCACAACAGAATGACCAACCACAACAGAAGTACCAACCACAACAGAAGTACCAACCACAACAGAAGTACCAACCACAACAGAAGTACCAACCACAACAGAAGTACCAACCACAACAGAAGTACCAACCACAACAGAAGTACCAACCACAACAGAAGTACCAACCACAACAGAAGTACCAACCACAACAGAAGTACCAACCACAACAGAAGTACCAACCACGACAGAAATACCAACCACAACAGAAGTACCAACCACAACAGAAGTACCAACCACAACAGAAGTACCATCCACGACAGAAGTACCAACCACAACAGAAGTACCATCCACGACAGAAGTACCATCCACGACAGAAGTACCAACCACAACAGAAATACCAACCACAACAGAAATAACAACCACAACAGCAGTACCAACCACAACAGAAGTACCAACCACAACAGAAGTACCAACCACAACAGAAGTACCAACCACAACAGAAATACCAACCACAACAGAAATAACAACCACAACAGCAGTACCAACCACAACAGAAGTACCAACCACAACACCAATACCAACCACAGTGACAACCACCACCACGACACAACCCACAACCACGGCAACGACAACAACGACCAAGAAAATGAGAACCACACGAAAACCTGGCTTCATCCCCATCAGCCCTCACAGACACCGACTGTACAAGAACGGCCGTTTAAAAAGACGACCGCGGGATGTTAAAAGCTGTTCCTTCGAGGATATTTTCAAAATGCAAGTAATATGTATTGGATAGTTGATGTGTTGTTAGGTGTGGGATTCTTTGTATGTAATTAGCTTAAAATAGTAGTGACAAGATATTTATTTTGATGAATAGATTGTCGTTTGGTTATGTGTTTAACCTGCAGTGATAACTATCATGATATCCGAAGGCATTTCAATTCAATTTAACTATGTAAATTATGTAAATTTGATTTTGTATTGACTTTGCTGTGATAAATATCATGACATCTTATAACAAAAGCATTTTAAAGATACATTACTTGTTAAACAATAGAGCAGAATGTTACCTTTAAAGGCATCGGTTGATAACGGTTATAAGTAATTAGCATATATCGGTTTTACGACAAAGTCAATAATCCTTTCTTAACAGGGTATGAGAGAATTGTGTATTATATAAGGATTGTTATTTAGTGTTTTTCTCTTTGTTAAAGGTTGTTACTTTTATTAATTGTTGTAAGTTTTAATATTTTTGTGTTATTTATAAGAAGCTATGATTAGCTATGTGTTTGTATTTGTGTGTATCCGTCCAAATTAAACAATACTTGTCCATTATTTGTTTATTAACAGCCGCTGAGGTCGGATGAGGAAGTTGTATCGAACATGGATTGTTTTTTGGCATAAATACCTTATATTCATAGGCATGAACTAATAATCAAGATGTAATATTTATGCGGAAAATAACATGTTGTTAAACGATTCACGACCATTCCCCTACTTGTAAAGGGTCACAAAGCTCTGTTTCACTAAGCCGAAATTAATATTTAATGATACTGCACACCATGTGTATCATGCATCAACATAAAACGGGCAGAAAATGAATTGATAAAAGAAATAAATATATGAATAAATGAAACAATAGTAGACAGTACTTCAATTTACAAGGAATAGCCGTGGTATTATTTAGTAAACAAACATGGAAATAATTTGAATAATAATACTTCAAAAGACACATTAGTTATGTCAATAATATCTTTTTCTCATATATATTTTTTCTATCTATTTACAGTTCGTATATCCTTTAGAAATATACAAATACATAACCTTCATTATTTTCTTAGCTGCAAAAGTGATAAGACTGGACTAGCACACTCCTAATGTCTATTAGTTTGAATTTCAGGAATACACAGAATATTACTTTGTCGGCAAATGAACTCGCAAAGAGAGCCGGTATAGTACCCCAAGAACCACTGCCAACTAGAGCGAATTCCTTCTTAGGGCAATTTATACGGTTAGGGGAGGGCTGGGGCCAATATTGAAGAAAATGTGATGTTTTGTAGAATATACACAACCTTAATAGGTTTATTAATGACGTTCACAGGCATTATTGAACCGTTCACTTTAAATTAAATTAGTTTTGCTTTTCATTTCGGTTCACTCTCTTCATCTTACAATAGCACCATCACCAAACACAACAGTGAAATCCTAGATACTCTAATAAATTATCAAATTTGTCATAAATGGTAATTTTTGGAATAAAGATGACAAAAATAGTAACGAAATTAATTAACCCAATGTCAGCGGGTTTATTTACTGTCTCCTTTAGGTTTTAGTGAATTTTGTTACATACAGATGGCTCCACGTGCGTTTTCAATACTACTAATATTGACATTGATATCATTTTTCTTGATATTTTGATGATTAAACTGTTATTAAATTGTTAATAACATCAACGTCAATAAAATAATAGAAGTGAAGTTTTCAAAAAACGAAGGAAAAGGGTAAATAAATGAGATAAAGAAGACTAATGGCTGACTACTTGACTAAGCTCTTGTAGGGCCATCTATGTATAAAGACAATAGATAAACTTCTTATTACAGTGGACATGGCATTGAGTTAATAATACTTATAAATTAATACATTCAAATAAAGAAATAAAACGTGCGCAATACTATTACAAACACGCTAGTACCTGCAATTTTAATAATCAAACAACAGTTTCTTTCTTTCTTTCTTTTTTATCCTACCACGCTATTTATCTAGAGTTCATAATTCAAACTGACCGAATCACTAAAATTTGACATGGTTTACCCATAAAATATGATATTCACAGAAAACGAAACCAGTTGTATTCATAGAAAACCTAATATCAAAAGGGGGACTTCTTTCATTCGTTAAATAATCAAACTTTAAACTTCGAAGATCAATTGGAAGTGTAAAATACGGTAATACAGAAACGAACAGTAACGCCACAAATAAGGGTAAAAGATCACGGAAAGCGCCGCTCACAGCCGAAGTCTTCTCGGTGGTCTCGAGTTTCAGATGTATCTTCCTATGCATACTGAGGTGAAGGTTTCCCGGGGGGAGGGGGATCCCCCATCAACCCTCCCCTCGAAGGACACGCACTGTCAACATAGATTGTTGAATAAAGTTTGTGACGTGATGTTGCGTCCTTACTGTAAAATTACCGACAAGAATATCAGACTTGTCCTAAACCAGTTCGATGAGCTAAAGAAGTCTTCAAAAAGATTTTTTAAAATTAAAATAAAAAAGTCGCCAACTGGATGTCTCAAACTTTATTCACAACAATCAAACTTGCTGATTGTCCGTGCCCTTCGGGCTCTCCCAAGGAAAGGGTTGATGTTTTTTTTTTCTTTTGTCATTTCTAGATCTCAATTAATTTTGTGTTCTAGTATCTTTACAATAAAAATAATAATAATAATAATGTATCTGCTATATCACCGTTACTTGTTAATAGCTTTGCTTTGTATTCGAGATCACTTTTAATCGGCATTTCCTATTTTCTGTCAGTTTAATACCATTATTACCATGTATGATTTCCCCGTGTCATACTAGTTACCATGAACCTAATATAATTTAACAACCATCATTATACGACGATGGGGTAATAACTAATGCCGTTACTCTTACCGAGAATGCAGATGACACACTGGATTCGTGAATAAAATAACAATGGTTACAGATTGCAGTTAGCCTTGATTCAACGTTAGTAAATGTTTACAACAGGCCCACATCCGTCAGACTCAAACCAACAACCTCGGGGATTAATTTTAGGGGGGGCGCAGGGGGATGTAGGCGATTTCGCTCATTGCAAGCATTTAAAATACAAAGTAAATAACATAATG